AGCATCCGTGCAACAGGAAGCTTCGTATTGACATGTTATTAACCGTAGCTGTGCAAACATAAATACACTTCCTTTTATGGATTTAGATCTATTCACATGCTTCAAACAATTAGGGCACACCCTCATAATTTTCCATTCACACTGCTTTAAATTCAGCCATTGATACTAAATAGGACATAAAAAAGCAGACTATAGTATCTTGTCAGTGAAACAGAATATTATTTATTAAATGCCAAAATCAGTACAGCTGATATTAATGTTCCCAATACCATATGATGAATAACTTTTAATTAAAGGTATTCCAAAAATTAAACACAGGAGTCAGAAATACTGTCAGAGTTTGTGATTCAGCAAATCGATTCTCCCTTACCTGAGCATGCCAAGATCACGTAGGTAATTTTGGCACACTAGCACTCATTCAAAACAGAAATACTGACTATACCTCTGTCTGGTCATTTTGTTCTTAGTAGGTACTGTAGTCAAATATTCAAAACATCCTTTCACTACAGAATGTCACAGTTACAGCTCGGAGCCAACTGGAAGATTGACTGACTTAATCCAAGTCATTTCCTGCAAGATGCCCAGCGTCAAATACTTTCGATAGTCACAGTGCTTGGTATTACAGACTGATATCAGTTCCTGAAGGCTGATATGCATTTTTTAGACTGCAGTTGGCAACAGTTTCTATAATAATACAATATAACACTGCAGCACACCACAGAATTAGAGATTCCCAAGGCATGTCATTGAGTAGTGACTGGTAAAGGCACAGTTACAGTTGCTTCGGCAAAATCACTCAAATGAAGCCCATTACTGATGTCAGAGTGAATCCAACCCCACTGCAAAACCTGACATAGTGAGGTTTTTTTTGTATGTTTGCGCTTTAAGACGTTTAATACTGATGATGCACAGAGAACATAATGAGATATGATGTATGAAAACTAAAGCTCGACAAAAAATACTTTGCATAAAGCATAAAGACCAAAAAAGTAACAGACTTGTGATAACTATACAGAGGTCAAGAGGAGGCTAGCTTTTTTTTCCAGCACAGAGATCATGGAACCAAAGAAAAGCTGTAAAGGTTTATCTTACACTTATCTTAGCCAATAAAGCTATTTGTGAAATGTAATCACTGCTGAATACTTAAATTAAAATACAACTGATTTTTTAGCTATATTAAAACCATTAGTGGTTTGAATTGACCTTTTGCTAAAACCGTCCCATAAACAGAGACTTCCTAATCACAGCTTGGCAACCTTCCAAACCAAAAAACATAAGAGCATAAGTGAGAAGATGAGTGTGAGTGTGACTGATTAAACCCTATGTTTATCTGCTAGCTAACAGGCCTGCTACTGAACGTAGTAACCTCACAGTAGATTCAACAGTAACAGTTAGCACATCATTAGTTGATTACATTATTTAGCAGGTTGTGTTAAAAAAAAGCCCTGCATGACTGTGCCAGTCCATGGTATGGAGTGGTGTAGGTAGCAGATCTGCTTGGGGTCCTGCGTTCACAGATGATGTAAAACATGAACACATTGATTGGCTGTACTGCCTGATTCGTACATCCTGTCCAATCGGTACTGAGCATGTGCAAGTCTCAGCAGAGATGCAAAGGAAAAGATATGGCTCACTTGTTAGCTACTTCCATCATCCGCTCTGGAAAAAGACACTTTAATTCAGCATGCTATTAAGACTTCTTTTAAATCAATTTTTATCTTCCTCTGGATGCAGTTGGAAGAGGTATATGGTATGAATAAATATGGTGACTTGCATGTACATAATATCTGAAAGCATTTATGTGTGAGTCATACATAGAGCATATAGTACAGTGACAAGCACAGTTTTCAGATTACTTAGCCAATGTTAGCAAAGGTTCTGTAAATGTATTGTATTGTATGTATTGTTCCCTCAGCTAATACTGAAAAGACATTTTACATAACATTAAATAAAGCATTGTAACATCTCATTTCCTCCTAATTTCTGTTCAGAGTTGGACATGTGCAGTACAGATCGGGCAGGATGTACTGTGCTGCGAACACACAACACTCGTACACATTCCAGTGGCATCAGTAAATGCAGGACTGCGAGCAGATCTGGTACCTATGTCCTGGATACTTCTATAGCAGAATTTAGGCTAACCTAAGTAGCTCTGTCCTGATATTTATTGGATCTGGGGAAGTTTACACTCCAGTAACTCCAGCTCATGTTTCCTGAGACAGCATTTTGTTTTAACACATCAATTAGTCCTCATCTTCAAACTTCTCTTGAAACGTTAAAAGTGAAATTCACTGTTAGAAAATACAATAGACTAATTAGCTCTGCACTGTAATACAAGAACAGTGATGGATAAACATGGTGAGGTGGTGAAAACAGGCTTGAGAAATGCTGAGTTAAGCAGTAGCTTGGCACAGTGGTGTCTGGGCAGCAGATCTCCACCTTCACTGCTGTGGTGCATCTTGTGAAGTGGAGTCCCGAGTAGCTTGTGCAGTTCCTGTTGTGGAGTCTTGAGCCAGCAGCTGCTCTGGTGGACGCAGGAACACCACAATAACTGTGATGTTATCACTAGAACCGGCTGCCTTAGCGTGACCTACCAACTTTTGAGCGACTGTCAGTCCAACAACCTGCTCTGACTGTTCCAGCGGAGCGTCTCCCCCGCCCTCGTGGTCACCAGGTGGCTGGAGTGCATCGAGGACTAGATGTGGAACCTCTGAAGGTTTGACTGCATCAAAGAAGCCATCACACGCAAGAAGCACGTAGTCTTCGTCCCCCACCAGCTGGGTTATCGAGCAGTCGGCATCTCCAGACACATAGGGCTTCTGGTCAAAGTCACCTGGAGGAGTAATGAGGAATGTGTGGTTAGCAGCTGCAGCAGTACCTTCTCAAGTCCAGGCCTGTTTAAGACCATTAATTAGGGTTTTCATTATCTGTTATTTACCAGGAAAATCACTATCTGGTGCAAAGAGATACCATTGCTGTGATGACAGCGCTCCACTGGAGGTTTGAAGTTGTATATGGAGAGTTTACCATTAGAGGGCTGTTTTCACATTCATCTGCATGAACTCTACATACGTTAAATGTGTAGGTATTTGCAGGATTTTGTGACATCACCTTGTACAGTGTTATGTAGAGACCTAAAGCCACCAGTGCACATCCACTGCGAATGTAGGAGACATCGTGTCCAGCAGTTAACATTTTGAAATTAAAAACTTTTCCATAATTAATATTAATCAAAGTTAATTGGACTTTTTTGTGGAAAAACAATATCACACACAAACTAGAAGAGCGCAGATCTCTGTCAGCCAAAATATGGTGAAGCAACTACTGCAGTGCCACTACAAATGCCAGATGCAACCAGTGCACATATACAAAGTTTTGAATATAGTGTAGTTGTTTTTGGACAGTATGATGCATAGAATAGTATGAGGAACCCGTATCAGGTATGGAATGCTCTTTTCTATGGATGTCAGTTTTTGAGCCACGACAAGGGCCAAAATGTGGCCTGCAACAGACTAGGTAAATTGTGTTTTTAGCCTAGCACTTCTGGCCCCTGCTGGCCAGTTAGGAGGAGTGAAGACTCAGCAGTCAGTATAAAACAGAACAGTCAATAAAATAGGATTTAAAAGGTTTTTCAATGATTGTGAAACATGCAACCACAAGAGCATAGTCATAAATGTACACTAACAGATAAGGCTGATTGGTAGTTGGTATTGACTGCCTAACGCTGTATTCACTGTTCAGGGTTCCTACTCTTTTAAAGAAAGCATTTTCCAGGCTCTCGTTAAGACAGTGTAACTGCGGCGGTGGCGGCGGCCCGTGGGGTGGTAGCGGTGTAGGCCT